GGTTCGCATCTTCTCGGGCGCTCCGTCCGCAGAGCGACCCCGTCGCGGGGCGGCGGTACTCGTCCCTTGGGCTGCGGGCGAGCGACGTCAAACGAGGGTTCTGGCTTCCTTGAGCTTGTTGCCACGGACACAACTTGCAAAATTAAATTACACACAGTAAGCGGAAGAAAGTAGAAAATAAATATGATAAAATTTTGTTCCAGCACAAATGGACACAAAGCAAATGCAACTGTAATGAAAACATCTTTCTTTGCTAATAGTGAAGTAGTTCTGTCTGTAAACAAATCACGAAAATAGGCACTCTTTCTAGTGGACAAATGCTGGACTCAGGAGTGGAAGTGGGGAGGTGATCACCACTCTTATCCTCTACCTGTACTTACCCCACACCAGTGACCTGTTGGGACTGGGTCTCCCCAGTTTTGCCTCAAAACAAGGAATACGAGGCCTGATTAGAACAAGCAGACACACTGCTAGCTGCAATATTTGGCTTTGAATAATCTCTTTCTAGACTGTTCGGATTGCTTTTGTTGATTTTCCTCTAAGCTGAGGTAGGCCAACAGAATAAGCATCTGTGTTCCTCAGCGGTCCAGACAGCCACAATGCGAGGTGAAGAGCGAGGAACTTGTTTGCCACAAGCACGGCCCTGTTTGATAAAGAGCCTGTACTACCATAGAGCAAACCAATCGGAAAAGGGGCTTATGACTTCATTTCCCTCTTTAGTAAGTCCATGTTCTATCCCTTGTGCTGTCAGTTTTTACTCACTTGAGTTGATGGAACAAAAGAAAAGACATGCTACATGTATTCTGAAAGTAACTGTGATTTCTAGAGTAATTTTATTGTGACAACACCACTCTGCTCCTGTCTTAAACAGTAAAAAGAACAAGAAGCAAACACTAATAAGTAACACTCTTTGCTCAAAGACAGCATGAATATTGACTAAATATCATTTGTCAGTAAGGCTTCCAGAATATACAGGTATCATGGTACCAGAATGACCACAATAACAAGAACGGAATTTACTTTTCCGTAGCTATGTACAAGTAAATTACGCAGATAATGCAACAAAATAGATTTTTCTTTATTCTTGTACTTGAACACTCACATTTCCCTTTTTGTACAAAAGTGGATGCAACTGTAACATAAAAAGCTGAAGAGCTACACACAACAGAGTGTGATTGTATCTCCTGTAGCAGCTTCTTTCCTAATCCTCTTCCAAATCCCTCACATACAAAGATAAATTCTTGCAATCCTGACATTAGGATTATTCTTGAAGTAAAACATAAGCTGTAATCTCTCTGAAGCTGCCTGCTGTTCAGAATTAGGGCTGAGTATCTGAGCATATCCATATTGCAGGGACCCACTGGGGCTCGTCCTGTGCACGATGGATTGCAGACAGCAGCTGCGCGGATGCTTCTTGCAAATTGTCATTCACAATCACTTGGTCAAAGAACTGACCAAACTGAGCTTCCATTTTCTTAGCTGAATCTTCCATCTCCTGTAAATCTTCTTCCTGTGAGACACAGAGTAAGTCTATAAAGCTTTAGTGTTGTGTAAAGAAACATACCTGCATGGCATCTGCAGAACACCTTGGGCCATGTAAACAAGAGGTGAACAGATAGTGCCAGTGTACTTTATTTCATTTACAGTTTTCTGTAGTAAAGTACACTTGCTACAGTCAGTTCCAAGTCCCTGAAACAGAGCTGACTGCTGTATCCTTCCCAAGGAAATACCTTGTGTCTCTGTATGCTCCATTTGCCACAAAAAGGTTATTCTACTGATGAGTGCTGGCAGAGGATGTTAGGGACTGGAAGGCAAATCCACTAACACTTGTGTTCTCCTTCCACATTTTGCTTTATTTCCCCAGTGTTCATGTTTCTTTCTGCCACAGCAATCATGATTCATTTCCGTATACAGTTGTGGACTGAGGTCTCCAAAATTTTAGGATGCTAAACTTGATTACAATTTGCATGGAATCAATTGTGACAATGCACTAGACACACTAAATACAAGATACACATTTTCTACACGCAGGATTTGTGTTGTAGCTATAGAATTTAGTATAGAATTGATATTGTTAACTGTCACTAAGCATCTGTGAAAAAACAATACATTCTTATAACTACATAAAAAAATATTTTATTAAATTACTGAATGAAGCATGTTCCAGGTATTTCAGTGCAAACAGTAAATGTATGTGTTGACTCAAATCTTGTCACAAGGCAGTTAATTAAAACAAAAATATACAAAATAGCTCCTCCTTTAAAGACATTTTGAAGCAAAAATGCCTTAATTCCCTCAGTACAAATTACAACCCTTCTGCTTCAAAGCACATCTGGAGCAGGAAAAAAATCCCAACAAAGCAAACAGAAAAAGACAAGAAAAACTTAGATTTGATCCTAAAGACACAATCTTTTTTAAAGAGTTACCACAGTAACATCGTAGAATGCATGATGTTCTAGACACAGAATCCCAGAATAATAAGCTGAGTCTCTTCTATTCCCAAATCTCACCTTGAATTTCATGTTCACATAATAATCCGTAATGATCCTGGCATTTTTGCGAGTCTGCCTCATGCAGCTTATGCTGGATGGCTTGATGAATATTATGTAGGGCTTTAATTCATGAGTCCGGGCTACTTGAATGCCCTGCAAATTAAGAATAAAAGAAATACTTCAAGTGTATTCATCCCAGTTTTACTCCCATAAAAAGCCAGTTATTTACAACATGCTGTTCTCTCCAGACCTAGCAGTAATCTTTTTCAGGAACACCTACTTTAAAATGACCTCCCTAATAATCCCTGGACCAGACATTGTTAAGCAACTCTAGCATACCAATCACTTAATTCTGCTTGGTAACATTAGAAGGAGATGCTTTCAACTCCAGTGAGTGGCTGGACATTGTCATTAACAGATCTTTACAATCAACAGCATTAAAGATTACTCTGAAATGTTATTTTTAACTGCTGGGGAGCTACCTTTGGGAAAAGTACACCTTTATTGCTCCATACTTGAAGAAAGTATCCTGCTTTTGGGAATCTTTGCACTGTGTAACATTCCCTGATGCTAGTAAGCATTTTTAAACTACTCCACACAGTAGAAAAAAAAATAAAACAAAAAAATATACAGCATGTAAAGTTGCCAAGCCACCAATAAAATACAAGTATGCAACTCAGCAGTAATTCTCTAACCTCACAGCAGTTACTGAAGAGTAGCTACAGGCCATTACTTCATACCCTTCCCAAAACTTGTCCTTTAAACTCACACCTTAAAAACCCAATAGTGGCACATCTATGCAAGTAGCAAGATTACATCCCCGCCCCCCCCGCCCTTCTCCCTTTTGGTTAGAAGTAGCGTAGCAAAAGAAACCAAGGACATTTTTAGATCTGAAATGAAGACTAAAGTGTTGCCTAATCTGCCCCTTATAGCAGTTTAGATTTTGGGTAGTACCCTACAGATCATGTAACTTAGCTTCTATTTTAAACAGCACAAACCACTGCGAACCTAAGGCTCTGACATGCTGGCTCTGCATAATTAGAGGGAAGTCTCTAAAAGTTACCGAGTAATAGCATCTCTCTTTACATTCAGTTAGAAGAGATGCTGAAACCTGGTAGCCTAAACAGCTCCTAAGTACTAAACATGCAAGCAATTCAGAGGAGTTTAGTAAGATTTTGCTGAAAAGTTTCTTAGATATTTACAGACTCAGGCCTTTATTTGCCTTATCTTCATCATCAAATTCAATACAAAGATAGAAGGCAAAAAAATAAGTGAATAGTGTCTAAATGAAAAGATTAGCACAGTAAGTAGTTCTGAAAGTGCTAGAGGTAATAAAAGTAAAAAAATACAGAAGAATGCAAAGATTGCATTCAAAGTTTTTTTGCAATGCCCAGCATAGAAACATCTGGTAATCACCCTAATATTTGAAACATTTCTTGCCAGTATCTGCTAGGGCATAGGTGCAAGCTGCCCTTTCTCATACAGTAAACATTTACAAACTGTGGTCCCTAAATGACTGGCAGTCTACATGGCAAGCACTCGCTGCAGGCTCTTGTACAGTTTTTTGGTCATGTGCGCCAGCAGCTTACTCCCAGCTTCTGAGGAGAAAGAAATGCATGATAGAATTCCCTTCTTTTCCTCAATAAAAGTTGCAGCTTTTACCAAAGGGTGTTCAGAAATTGCTAACGGAAGGACAGAACTCTCAACTAATGGGGCTTGGAGGAGGAGGAAATCCTATGCAACAGTCTCCATATGAAAGAATAATCCTTGCTTTAGGCAAGTATGAAAACTCATTGCTGTACCATTCCACCTGATAATGCAACTGCTGACTTAGAAACAAATGAACTATACTGATCTATACATACTCGTCACTGTGGTATTCCCCCCCAGCCAAGACCTATGCAGAGAATAATCTATTATTAATAAGCACCATGAGCTGAAGTGAAAAACAAGACAACACAACTAACACTGTTCCAATAGCTCAAGAAATGTACAGACAATTATTTTTCTTTCCAGAAGATACGAACTGTAGATTCCCTGCCCCTTTACAACTCACCTGTGGTTCTAAATCTATTACACAGATCTTCCCTTCATCAAGGACTGTTCGTACTGCATCAATACTGGTACCATACAGGTACCCTTTGTACTCCCCATATTCCAGCATTCTACAACAGCGGTGAGGAAGAAGAAAAATTAAAGAGCGCTTGGGTCTCAAAAAGTTTCCATTTAAGGGTGAAATCATCAAATATAATCCAGTGATCAAGACTGAATGATCATAAAACATAGTGAACACTTATGAACAACGTCCACCTTTGCTCTTCCCCACCACACTGGGCACAAAATCAGAACCATTACCATTTGACACCTCCAAAGCATGCATTTTTTACTTATCTTGTTGTTACAAATTATGTGTTTAGAGGTTGGGATTCTAATGATAAAATGCTTGTCATTTATATAGCACAAGTAACTTCATAAACCAGAAGATCTCAAAGCACTTGACACAGCTCAAGGAGTGTATCTTCTGGTGCTGAGCTGGTCTGTCTTAGGGGGATTATCGATGCATAGAAAGGAGCAGACACATTTGAAAGTTTAGCCCTTACAGTTCAGCTGCTTACATGGAGATGTCATCACTGCAGAGGTTCTGCAATGGAGTCATAGATCAGGAACTGATTTGACTCCCTGCTCAATTTTAGAAAGCAGTCTGGTTTCCAGGAGAGTTAAACTCATAGCTCGCTAGCACATCAAATAAGCTCAGGACTGGAGAGCCCACTTTCTTTTAGAAGGATTCTGAGAATAATTGTAGAGGAGCTTATTTGCAACTGCACAAACACAGTCTTTGAAGCAATGGGCTCAAGTAATTTGATCCAAATTTACACCAAACATACATAATGAGTGGAGGAGCCCAGATCTGGGACCTAACTACAAACCTGTCTTTTCTTGGATCATGTTACATTTTAAGTAACAGAAGTGTAATTCATCTCTCCTACTTACCTGTGGCTATACACCATGTTTTCAAAAGTTTCTTTTGATACGTAGTGATACTCACGACCATTCATTTCATAACTCTTCTGAACACGAGTGGTGTCTGAAAGGAGATATAAACACACAAAAAAGTCAACTGCAAGTAAATTCTTGTAATTTTATAAATGAAAATGAAAACGACTTTCATGAAAGACTATAAATTAGTATTTTCATAAGTAATAAAATGAGCTGTTTCCATTTGTTAATCCAGAGCAAAAGCCTCGTCTGCCTTAATACTGGTTGCCCAGTGGCAAGTCCTTGAAAATTATCAAAGCACATCTGTATTTCTTGGAATGGAAGGAAAGTGGTTTAATTCAAATATCTGCAACTCAAACCAATCAGGAACTGCTTTGGAACTGGTTGCACAACTGTCTTTGCTCTTCTCAGGCAAAATAGATTAAAGTTCATTCAGAAACATCCTACAAGCCTTCCCACACTCGCACCTTCCCCATATCTGGGATCTTAAGCATAAAAGAATTCCTGAATTTTCAACCAGCTTCATAGAATTATTCAGGTTGGAAAAGACCTTTGAGATCATCAAGTCCAACCATCAACCCTACTCTACCAAGTACTCCCCTAAACCATATCGCCAAGCACCACATCTAAACAACCTTTAAACACATTAAGGGATGGCGACTCAACCACCTCCCTGGGCAGCCTATTCCAATGCCTGACAACCCTTTCAGTGAAAACATTTTTCCTAATGTGAAGCCTATACCTACCCTGGTGCAGCTTGAGGCCGTTCCC